GTGATAATATTTTATCCATATCGTGTCGTTCTTTCTCTCTTTCTTTCCTTCTTTCAATGCCATTTCACCGGAAAATACTGCGATCAACTCTATAGATTTATATTTCAAAATCATGACGCGGGCTGTAGCATCGCTGGCAGGAAGCGAGCGGAAAGACTCGCATACCGAAGTCAGAAAATGTCCATATACGAGAGAAGCATACACGATGTCCTGCCGGTAACTATATAGTCTAGCATATCCCGGAATACGCTGTAAACGGTAGCAAGCACACAACCCCGAGAGACTGGGGATAGAGAGAAAGAGATGGAGATGGAGAGAGGAAAAAGGGCATGACACGTGACGATTTCTGTGCAAAGGAGGCGCACGTTGGCTGCCAGCGGACGTTGTCGTGCGGTGCATATATGCACAATGTTTGCGCATCCTCGACGGTACGATTATTGTCCTGAGCATACCAGCGGGACCACTGCGAGATGCGTTCACCGTCCCGAGACATGCACATACGCGGCTAACATGTTTGGTGACCGCGCATACCACGAAAACTGGAGAAGCCTCTCTCTCTCTCTCTCACACACACACACACACACACCCTTGCTTTTGCTCCCTCCCTAGCACAACAGAGTCTCGAGTTAGCCCGGAGACCGAGCTAGAGATGGTGGTCAGAACAGAAAGCTGGCCTCAAGGGTGACGCGGCGGACTCGAAACAAGAGGGTTGTTGCGCGACCGGACTCGTCCCGCATACGTAACACTAGTTCGACCGCCTCTCTCGCACCGAGATTTATGGCAAACGCGTCTGGACCGACCACGAAGAAGATAAGATTTGCCCGCGATCGGGATAACGAGCGAAGACTCCCCTTTCCGGACGAAGAGTCGTAGGTAGGATCTATCCGGAAGAGAGATCTATTGTGACTACGCGCGATGCAATTAGAACGCGATTGGTGTAACCCGACGTATCAATACCAAAAACATCTAAATACGATATAATTTATTTAATTTCGACAAATATATGATTATTAAATTTTATAATTATTCTTTTTTAATCATAAGTTTATTAATTTATCCGAGATTAATTTGATTATAAAATCAACTTTTGTTGATATCTTCTCAGCAATGACTGGACAAAGTACCGTCATTTTTTTCATTTTTTGCATTAAAACTTATGTTTTTTTAATAATAAAATTTATTTTAAATTATACAAATTATAGACTTATTTACAGCTTTAATATTTCAATATTAAAATAGATGTGAGAGATATTCCGATGTGTCTCGAAATGTAGCAAATATTTCCTAATAGCTCAATTCTATCATTTGATAACAAGCAATTAAGATTCGCCCTTGAAGAGTCTTATCAAGTGTCACGCAAAAGGAGCTCCGGGTGCGCAATCGTAACGGTTACAGAGTGCGAGGCACCATCTCGGTAAACTAGTCTAATCCGAGAGCAGGTTTCGGAACCGTTGCGGCTTCTTCATCTTCCCGGCGCCAACTTTCGCGAGAACATTCTCTCAACGGCCTTCAGACCAGTCATTTAGTTATATTAAGGAAAAGTTGCCGCGATCTCCGCTAGAAGTAAATGCAACGGAGTTGGGCGACGGAGAAAAGAAACTTCCGAGTCTGCGAGCCGACCGGCGATTAAGAGGAGTAGAAAACTTCTCGCAGACGCTCATGTGTCCTGTGCGAGATAACAAATGTCATCTCGGCTATACTATGCTTTGCGTCGACAGAATTATGGCCACCGCCATGTTTGCAGCGTCGTCGTAGACCTTTGTGCAAAAATATGAGGCTCAACACTAAATATTATATTGCCTTGACAATTTTTTTACTGTTACATTATGTTAGAGATAGTGCTTGTATTTAAGCTAGTATTGCATCAAGCTTTAAAAACTATAGAGCAATGCATAAAACAAGGTAAACCAATACAAAGAAAAATGAGAAAGTAAGCAAACTCCAATTGTTAAATTTAATGAAAAATTATAACTACATGAAGACAAGAAAGACAGATAAATTATCCCATATAGTAATAAATATTAAAACATTTAAATGCTCAGAAATAAGATTGAATTTCTTTGCTTGATGACATAAACGATCTTGTTGGAAAGGTATAATTTAGAGAGCCTTATATTGGCGTGTATTTCGCACATTATTCTTGATGGTACGAGGAGCAGAAAATCCCTTGGGTATTACCGCCTTTACGCGCTATTAGCTATAATTATTCTATTGTATCTGTTAACTCAATTATTGAATTTACTAAACGAATTTACAAAACAATTGGCTGAAGACGTGTCCAACATGAGAAAGTGTCAGAAGTAAAAATATATATATAAACAATAATGTTCTTAGTATTTGCTTGATAACATATGTAATTAAAACTTATAATAATTAAAATTTAGATATTGAACTTTTTTTCTAGCAATGTATACAGTTTTTTTATCTGATTATAAATATATATAAACGAAAAAATTTTAATTTTTACATTCAATATTTTCAAGTTTTTTAATCTTTTAGATATATATTTAAATATGTATGTGATTTAATTAATTTTTAAAGATTTTGATTCTACAAATATGTACAAATTAAATTGAATAAAAAAATTAGTTGAAGTTTATTTTGTTTAGTTCCCAATTTTTTTAATTAAAGGGTTGTTTGATAATTCTTTATAATTAAAATAATAATATTACGTTTATTGACAATGAAGCTATTTGTAATCACAGAAAGCCAAATCGTGCTGCTTTCGCATTGCACAAGTAGACAAAGACGATCAGCAGTTGAAGTCATGGACGGCAATTACCACGAGGGTGATTCGGTACTATCGAAAATTAACTGCGCTGACTCGGACCAATGCGATCCCTTGACAATAGTACATTATTGTACTAGGCGCTAGCACACGTGCTAGATGCATCTATGTTGGACTAAAGCCTGCATCGTAGATCTCTATTACCACAATAACTCTCAATCGATAAATTAAATAAAAATTATTTTTGAAACTTTATTAAAATTTTATCACAAAGAAAAAAAAATTATATCATATCTCAATAATATATATATGTCACGTATTTTATACGTAAACCTAAAATTCTCGTAAAATGGCAGAAATATTCTGAACGCGATGACGCGAAAAGTATGTGCCGAAATTGTGTTATAAAAATATGTCACAAAAGCTGTTCACTCTGCGTAGAATGTTTGCAGCATTATTGTGTATTACATAAAATAAACTGAAAAATATTGAAAATCAAAGCTTTTTCATCACGCAATGTTTTTCATCACGTAATGTTATTCATTGTACGAATGAATATTTTGTAAATTAATATAATATTTATTTACACGCGAAAAAATGTGTGTATTGAGAAAATAGAAAAAAAATAAACACATATTCCATCGAAGAAATGTGGTACCGTTTTGGGATATATCAATATACTCGTTGCATTTCGTAATTCGATGTATCGCACGATGTATGTACACGCATTTTGCATATTTTAGGCAGAATATCAATTTTGTAAATCAATACGAGCATTGCCGCGCACCAAGATATTCCAGGTAACAAAAGCAATTTGGACTATTCCCCGTGGCAAATGAGGCGCCTCTGATTAACACACATTGGCTCAATTACACGGGTTAGCCGAGGGAACACGAAATTGCCTGCTATTAACGGTGGCGCGAGGGTGGATAGACATACGAGATATATCAGCCGGATAACACGACGATACGTTGAAAGCCATAGAACGTAATGGGATACTGCGGAACAAAATGTTTCGCTATTTTCTTCCTTTGCGTTAATTTAGGCCCCCGACGTGTTTGCGCGCGCAATTATTCGCGGAGGTAAACGGCCGAATTAACAAAAGGCAAAAGTGCCTTTTGACTCGGCAAAATACTTTAAATTATAAACATCGATTAAAAAGAATTTATACTAATGGAAAATTCTCTTTTAAGAGAGGCTTTTTTTTAAAAAAATCATGATATTAAATCGTTATTCTTAATTATAAATAATATAATGCGTTTTTGAAATATGAAAATGTAATAGTTTCAAATTTAATATTTTACATATACGTTAGAAAAAAGAATCACAAATAGTAAAAATTGTTTCTCTTACAAAACAATTTGTGAAAATTTCAAACAACTTGCGTCATACTCATAGTAAGTATAAGAAGATAGGAAATACATGTAATTTCTCTTAAAACACAGTTGAACACAGTGCATAAATATTAAAACGCATGGCAAATAGTATAACAGGAAAGAAGAGAAATGACATACCATTCCGTCGTACGCGTTGCAAATTGAAAAGTTTGAAGAAATTATTATGGCACTCCTGGTCTAGCTGGCCGTGTTCTTTACCACACTGAAACAATAATACGAATGTTTATTACAAAAATACATTGGATTATACATTTCGTTCAACGTTTAAATAAGCAAACCATTCAAACCTATACACTAGGCTATTTATTTAAAGTTCAAACATATAAACATTCACGTAGATAAAAGATTTCGAAAGCAAGAGATTGCACATAATGGAAAATGGAAAGTCGAAATTTAATCTAATAAACAAAACTTGTTCACAACGCGTATGTATTGTAAGATAATATTGAAATAATATAATAAGTATGTTATTTACATCATTAACAAAGTAATTATAACGTCGATTGTTGTTTGCGCAATTAATTTGCGCGTGATTACGATGGATATAAAAGAATGAATTTCACAAAGCACTCGTTTCGCAATATGTCGCGCACTATTCAATTAGGTTTGAAATACGTCGCGCTAGGTAGTTTGCGCGCTCTAAAACAGAATGCGCCACTTTACGAGTTGAGCGATAATGCAGGTTCGACATATCGATAATATAGATTCCGTTAAATTATCGCTTATCACAAAATGCACACAGTTTGCTAGATAAGACTTATTTATTAATTCATTGTTAATTCTCGATAATTTTTATATATGCCCTAACTCTTTTTTCTTGCTTTTTATTTTATCTGATATTTTATTTAAGACACGCTAACGCACAACTTTCAATTTTCAACGCACGCAATGCGTGGAATCTATAACAGATGAGAGTTTAAAAACAGGTTTTTTTATTCATAATAGAATTATTTATTATCACATAACAGAGCGACTCCACGTAATATCCAAGAATCAGGACTTTTTATAGTTTGCAGCCAAAGCGGAGTTATTAATAATATATAAGTTCTCTGAGGCTTTTTATATACGGGACACTGCAGGGAAAAAACATTTGCGTGAGAAATATATATATTATTAAACATTGTAAAATCTATTAGTTATACTTTTACATTTACCTGATACAATTTCGGACTCTTATCTGGAACATTATGTAAAACAAAAATATGTATTACTGGCATTAATACGTAAAGAACTTTATTTGACGATTCACATAAACGGCTATTTCTTCTATCCCAGCCGGCACCTTCCAGAAATAGTCCATAAACGTAAACACCTTCCTGTTTAGCAAATATCGGCATTATTAATTTTTACGCAAAACGTTGTATATATGTGTTGCACTAATTATTATTGCATACAGGTGGCGGTGCCTTGATCTCCTCTGCAATATTACGCAAAACTTCATTATGAAGCGTAACATTATCCAAAGCCCATTTATGAGCCCGCGTTATTTCCTGTTTCATTGCCGTTAGAAATCCTATAAACCGAATTTTTAATCGAGCTTAATTTTTTATAAAATTACATAAAGAATTCGTTTAACGTAAAAATTATATTATTTACCTTGTGGATTGAAAAATCCAGTCATCCAAAACTTTGCCGGTCTTCCACTCTGCAGCCAAGTCGAAAACTGTTGGTTTCTCTCTAATAGTTCCGTAAACCAGAAGCCCAAGGAAGTAGACTCCCATGATCGAGCTTTCCAGATTCTTGGTATTTTCGCATCGTATATATTATCGAGAGCATCTCGCAATTCCTTTAATGTATTCACATTTATTCGCTTTGCGAAACTGTATTTTAACAACCGTATAATTAGAACTCTAAGAAAATTACCTCATTCATTATAATTACACCTTCTATAGCCAACAAAAGATCCTTGAGTGTAACGCGGACCAATTTTATAACTACTTGTATCCTGTCAATCTCTTGTTTTAAAAAAATATTCATTGGAGCAGCATGATTCATTGCGCGTAATCTACGATAATGTTAAAAAATTCGTTAATCATTTTTGTTAGACTCAAAAAAATAGATCGTTATATTGCTTTATTAATCGTTCGAAAAAATGGTAAATAGTTTAAAACAACAGACAAATTGACGCGAACCTGTCTTTAACTTGAAACATGTCGTATAGTGCTGGAACTTTTTCCAGCATTTCCTTTGCCTGTCTTGTAACAACCACCTCCCGAGATTCTGCTCCAACAGCACCCGCTTCTTTCGGCTGTACAGATATTATCGTATCTAGTATAGTCTGCGTAGTGTTACTCTGATATCTACAATACACACACAATGCACATATAATTTTGCAATTACTTTACGTAACTCTGCTTATTTGTATATATATCTATTCCTTTCTCTTTTCTTAAAAACATCTTACGTAATATCTGCATTTGGATGTAAGCCATATACTTGTGGCGGATCTATGGTACTCATGGGATCTATCGCTTGTAAATAATCGCTCACTTGCTTAAATATCAAGAGAGGATAACCCTTGTAAAAATCGAAACCTTCCGCAAAAAGCGCATCTGTGAACCATACTTTCGCGAAAGTATTTAACAGTCTTTTATCGTAATCGTCTGTAACACGTCCACCGTATTGCACTTCACCTATCATATAACTGTAAATATGTAATATACATGTAGAATAAAAAATATTGACACACCATCGTTAAGGGAAAGAAAGACACACAATATGAAATTTTCATTTACCGCACAATCTGCCAATTTATACCGCGCTTCGAGTCGTAATCATTTAAATGATTATTTATAAACATGCAGGACGCCAACCAGTCTGCTAAATTAAATTCGTAAGGTATATTCCATCCCAGAGGACCGAATTTCCGTCTTTCCTGAACAATCGTGTGCAGAAAAGATACGGTGTATATGAGCGGTATATATTGCGCGGCGTCGCATTGATCCAGCATTTCCTGATTCATGCCGCTATACGTCGCCAACAAACCAGCGCGTACTCCTAATGCAGAAAAATCATATTTCGACTATATATCCTGCTTTCATCATTTTCCTTACATAAGACGCACATATTTTTATTCAAAGATGTAAAAATAAATATCTACCTTGCGGAGGTTCGTACGTATATTTTATAGACATTTGTAGCAAGGAAACGGGAAAATCTTTGTGCGGTTCCGTCGTGATCCATACGCGGAAATCCGGATGAGGTGCCTCCATCTCCAAAAGAAAGTTTGCCAATTCTGCCATGTATTCTAAGCCTAAATGGCAATTCTGGCATAATGCCCAAAAACCCTGTAAATTATTCCAATTAATATTTAAAGAACACTCTGAAGAAGAAAAGAATTCTCCTCTATACCGTGTATGTACCTCAGTTTTTGCGCTATTCAGTAGTCGACGAGCATGAACTTCTTGACCTTGTCCCATCGATACACTTCTACAAACAATCTCCATTCTTTTCGCGAGTTGTTCGATACTATGCGTAGGATCCGATCCCATACTTAAAAAACAAATCATTGGCGTGTTTGGCCTTGATTCGCTATGCATCACGTCCAGAAGCGTAATCACGGGCTCTGCGTATTTCGCTCCTAAGGAAGACGCCATGTATTTCCTAGATTGCGACAACGCTCTGTCCATGCACCAAGCTCTATAAAACGCAACATTTTGCTTAAACTTATTAAAATATTTTATGTATTTTATACGATAATTCTTTTACGATATTTTGCTCAGTCTTGATTTGTAAAACATAATATTAAATAGAATATATTAGAAGATTACCTAATTAAGAGCAATCGTCGGAACGTGTCCAAAACGTTATAACCATCTGGTATAATTTCCTCTTCTGGTGCATCTTTGTCGAACCAATGTTTCCAAACTTTCTCGGAAGCGGGTACTTGAGATACAATGTACTGAAATTGTCGCAATGACGAGAGTGCAATGAGATTAAGCCATGTCACATCCGTAATCCATTTGCAAGGTTTCGGCTCGACTGCTTTTAGGTCCAACGCTGCGCCGCCTTTAATTAAATATTGAAATTCTTCGTGCGTAATGCTGCCGCGTTGTAGATCGATTTTTAATGTCATCAACAGACTAAACATATATTTGTGTATCTCGTAAAGTCCGCGTGCTTTGTACTTAAATATATCATACGTCAGGTATTCGATAATGTAATTTATCCTTCTTTGATTGACCGGACTCTTCTCAGACCTAATCAAGAGAATTATGATTCAATGTGTCTTAAACAAAAATTGTTTTAATGATAAAACTGCATAAAAGGTAACACACCTCCGATTTAATCGCCACTTAAATATGTTATAGGGGAGGTTTTTCTGAGTAATTCCCTGCAAGAAATAAGTAGGGAACGGGATTGGTTTAGGAGATATAACAAATTGAAGTTCACAGTTTTAATGCTTTTTCTCAGGCATTATAAAGTAATATTAGGAAAAATTATTGACAAAATATCCATGATCGTGTACCTATTCCGTAAATGTAAACAAACACTTTTTCGTCTGCTCTACACGAATACAACCTAAACAAACTTTATTTTTCCTTATTTTATAATAGAAAAAGCATTACTATAAAACTTTAATTTGTTATATCTCCTAAACTAATGCCGCCCCCCTCAAATTTCTTGCGGGGAATTATTCAGAAGAATCTCCCCTACGATATATTTAAATGGTAATAATATCGGAGATGTGTTTAATAGAAAAAGCATTACTATAAAACTTTAATTTGTTATATCTCCTAAACTAATGCCGTCCCCCTCAAATTTCTTGCGGGGAATTACTCAGAAGAATCTCCCCTACGATATATTTAAATGGTAATAATATCGGAGATGTGTTACCTTTTATGCAGTTTTACCGTTTTTATTAATATTAAAAATATCTATCGCAACGCATTGCAGATTATTACGCAAAAACTATTCATATTTACCTATCCATGGAGATATCAAATCGTTCTAAGAATTGAACGAGGGACGTTTGATACATACAGTTGACGTGCGGCATGTCACATATCAAGAAATATAAAACGCTACCACGCGTTGCAATCGGTCGGAATTCTTCACGTGCTGTATCGATTTTTAATTCCGTATCCTTTGCGATACTCAGCTTTACATTTACTTCCTCCGCTGTCTGCTTCGTGGTATTTAATACTGACATTAATTCAACGTCTTCTATCAAAGAGCCCTTTAGAAGCATGAAAAATATTATAAAAATTATATTATTAAATTTGTATATTTCACAATTATTTAATTAACGCTTCAAAAAGTGCATACCTGTACAGTTCCTAATCTATGTAGAAGACTCGTTTCTAATTCTTTAATCTTTCTGTTATTTGCGGTTACATCGGCAATCAATTGCGTTCTTTCTGTTTCCAACTCCTTTTTCTCTGTTAGAATAACTCTTCCTAAAAGTTGGTCCTCTAGACCTATGTAGACGTAAGACAATTCAAGCGTAAAAAATTAAATACACAAAATTATAATTAAAAGATATAAATTTATAAAACATTACATCAAGAATATATGTAACGTAATTTTACCTTTCATCGTAACAGTAAAATCGATTATAGATGCACGGGCAAATATTTCGGGAGTATAAGAAGGATTTGGTAACTTTGTTGTGATATAAAGTCTAAAATCCTTGCTAACGTCCACTTCTTTGTCTCCTAATTTAACCTGTCACAATAAATTACACCAAATATGAAATTACACAGAAAGAAGTACGAAAACTATTTTCTTACCTTTAAGGAAGTTCCTATTTTTATAAAATTCTTTTCCAGCAAATTATCTAACACTGGATCTAATTCTTCCCCTACATCTTGGATTAATAACGGTCGTCCTATAGATACAGAATCCTCTAAATGATTTCTGAAATATTTGTGCGTAAACCATGTTATCTGGAAAATAAATTAAAATCTTATATATCAAACCAGTCTTATATTGTATTTCACATTTTACTTTACTATATACTTGTAAATTAAAATCCGTTTCTTTATTTTTAATCCATGTTTTGCCTTGCAATTGTGGATCAATTAAAAGAGGATATCTCGATGCTTTCGTTACAATTATCCCATTTTGAACAGATAATTCATCGGTCGGCAGGCCTTGCAAACTCCAATCGCCAATCTATATAACGAATTAAATATTTGTTTATTTAGTAAAATTATAATTATATTTTTTATAGCATGTACTAACCGTAGCTGTATCTGTCAATGTGTTAACGATATTTATGGTAACAGAAATTGGGATCTTTCTATCTTGTAAAAAGTCAAACCACTTTCTCTGCAAAAGAACTCGGAATTCTTGATTGAATGGTCCGCAGTAAGAAAGAAATCCGGTAAGTACCAATACATCTCCGACAAGACGTTCTGTTTCTGATTTAAATACAGCTACTTGCTCCGTCCATCTTGCTCTTTCTCCGGATAATCCTTCAATCATAGCGGCCGCGGTATCCATTTTTGCTTGACAAGCCGCAGCTTGGTCAACAATTATCTAATAATGAATATAAAAGGCACGTATGTATTATATTATTATTATTTAATATATCATTATTACTATTATCATACTTGTCGTTCCTGCATCATGGCATCAAATTCACTTTGCACGATTTTTAAAGCGTCATCTTTTTCTTTCAGCAGTTCTTCCGCCTCAAGCAAATTTCTGTTGGCTTTTCCATATTTACTTTCTTGTACAAGAAGATTTGCCTACGAATTTTTCTTTTTCTTATTATATGTATACTTTTTAACTATATATTTCTATTGACATTTTTTAATTTATGTCATTCTTAGACTTGATAATTGGAGAAAAAGAAGAAGAGAAAATGTTATATACATGAATCTAAATATGAAGCGTTTTTCCTTTAGTTATATAAACTAGTAATTGACAATGACTATTTTTATACTGTATTAATGTTTATTAATCGGGACATTATACCTTTAAAGGCAGCACGTCTTTATTTATTTCATAAAAGGCAACCATAGAGATAGTCCACTGTATGAGACCCGCTACGTTTCCGCAGGCTTGTTTCGCGGCTTCGTAAGTATACAAGTGGAAATTTAAATACGGCATCATTAAATCGACAGTTTCAGCATTTATATTATCCTTTGGAAAATTTTGTATATTATACAAAAATCTAGTATCAGCCATGACCTGCAACAAACGCAAATAATGTATGGCTTAAAATAAGAAAGCGTGTGTTACCTTATTTTAAAATTTGAGATTTTACCAATTAACAGAGATAAAGAGAGAGATATTAGATATTAATTGGAAATTAATATACATGGTATCTACCTTTAAGGATTCTGTCCATGAAGGTGTTAGAAATTGATGTTCGTAATCAGGTTTGACTGGTTCTAACTTTCTTCCAAATAGAATCAGAACGCAGTCCATTATAAGTGTAATTAAATACGGCGGTTTAGCCAATTTACGAACAGTAGAGATATCTGCCGCTTTTATAGTCTAAAGTGGATGAATTGCTTCCAATAAACATTTGTTTTATAACGAAGATGCTTAATATTAATATAAATTATTGCTCATAATGCATTACCTGTAACGCAGCTTCAGCTTCTAACAAGGCAGGCTCCGCGGTTTTCAATTTTTGTTCTGCTACAGCCTTATCTTTCGCAATTACTTGTAGAATCGCTTCCGCTTCATCTTTCGACACTTGCACTTTTGCTTTCACACTCTCAGCTTCTCTCTTTTTCTCGTTCACAGTAACGAGAATCTGAAAATGTTATATTATTACATGTTATAAAAAGGTAAAATTATAGAATCTATAATAAAATTGAGATTTTTAAAAAATTTTTCTGTGCTTACCACTTCCACTTGCACATTTTTCGCTACAATCTCTTCTTGAGTTTTTTCCAATTCTTTCCGTAATATATCAACCTGAGCTGCAGCGTCAATTAATTTGCTCAGACCACTAGTCATACGAGAAGTAAGCGTATTAATGTTATCCAAACGTTGCTTATACAGCGTTTTATAACTATCGAGAAATGTTAAAAATGATTTTGGAGTCACATATACTTGACGTCGAAACCTGCGTTTATTAAAATGAAATTAGTTCAATTATATTTTCAAACACAAATGCTGAAATAAAAGAAAGATAAAGTACCTGTCAAAATATTCTGTACATGTGTCGCTTACATCATCTTGAACATCACCTACAACTTGCATTAATTGTTGCTTTACTTCTGGGCTACATATGACTTTATATTTGTCTAAGAAATGTTCACCGACTGCGTATAGTGCGTCCCTTGGCCATCTTAAGAACCAATTTATTGTGCAACCAGATATAAGGCCAGGAAATTTTAACGCTCGAGATCTAAACTTTCCACCAACCTGTATAAATAATTCAACTTAATCAATTTAATTAACTTTAATTAACTTAATTAACTCTATTTAGCAAGCCGAAATCAAATAGAACTGCGTTTATTAAAATGAAATTAGTTCAATTATATTTTCATACACAAATGCTGAAATAAAAGGAAGATAAAGTACCTGTCAAAATATTCTGTACATGTGTCGCTTACGTCATCTTGAACATCACCTACAACTTGCATTAATTGTTGCTTTACTTCTGGGCTACATATGACTTTATATTTGTCTAAGAAATGTTCACCGACTGCGTATAGTGCGTCCCTTGGCCATCTTAAGAACCAATTTATTGTGCAACCAGATATAAGGCCAGGAAATTTTAACGCTCGAGATCTAAACTTTCCACCAACCTGTATAAATAATTCAACTTAATCAATTTAATTAACTTTAATTAACTTAATTAACTCTATTTAGCAAGCCGAAATCAAATAGAATCTCTTTAAAAGTGACAGTAAAGGAGCTTACTGGTGAAAAGCATAAAACAATATGTAAATTATTTCTTGCTCGCGATATAAAATAATCATAAAGATTGTCTTGTGTCGGCGGTCGTCGAGGATCGTCCTTCTTCATTAGCGGCGTGACAATTGTCAAAATGTCATCTAACTCGTCCTTTGGGAAAAGATTGGCCACTTCGCCGACGCTTAGCATATTATTTATATATTCTAAAAATGCTTCATCTTTTATTTCATTGTCGGTAAAAATAAATGTGAGGCCTTTGCTACCAATACCAGCGGTGCGATATAACTTTCGTAAATCGTCCATCAAACTACCTACATTATAAATCCTAAAATTATATAATTACACATATTATTTTTCATACATTTTCACTCGTATATTGTATTCAGAATCAGTATTAAAAATATTTGCGCAATATTTTTATAAACATATATACATATACAAAGTAAAGATTTCAATATATTTCAAAAATAAAACCAAAATTTACTTGAATTTTATATTGAATATTTGAACAATCTTGAATATTTCTCGTAATTATTTTCCATTTTCGCGATTTCTACAATTAAATGTTTAATAAAATTTTAATACTTGCCTAGATAACGTTATTTGAAAGAAGTTAAATCCCGCAATAAAGGACGCCAGTCGCGTCAGACTCTGCTTGCCGGAGCCTCCGATACCCACTAGCAATGCATTACCTCTGGGAACTCCAAGTATTCTCGATATTCGTATCAAATGCACTAGAGCGTCGTATCACGCGTATGCATTCGTGCTCCCACAATTTCAGCAGCGTCGTTATAGATTCGCATTCAGCTCTTTCTATTCTAAGTAATCCCCCCCAAATACGGGACAAATCACGCAAGTTAAAAACATAATGGAATTTTGCTGGAGTCGGTAACATTTTCGCTTTGGTTTGCTGCCATAGTATTCGTGTCAATGGTACAAGCTTCGGCAAGAAATTGTGACTGATTTCAGAGAATCTCGTGATACAAAAGTAGCCTTGGCCGATAACGCCTACACAATTGTTACAAATTTACTTGAATAAATTATCACGTTTTTATCGTGTTTCGTTACTGAACATTTCCTTACTGAAAATTGTATCCATAGATTTATTGGACGGTAATGTGCAATTAAAAATATTGAATTGCCGTTTTAATCGCGGTGGGATATCGTTTCGTCCTCCACCCGGATGATGCATCGCGGCAAGTAACATAATATCTTGCATAGTGCAAAAGTCACCCGGTTTATCCAGGGAATAAAATCCTTTGTATTCCATTAACTGACGGACAACCTCGTTTGTAATTTGATCGCCCCATTCGTTTATGACCGGCATATTTATGTCGTCGATAAAAATGCTCATTTTACGTCCACCAGGGGGACCGTAAGTAGTACCCACTCGTTTTTCAACGTAACTCTCAAATATGCGCTGAAAAAAAAACGTTTTTTAATTTAAATAAAATAATTTAAAATATAATCGTGGGTATAAATTTTAAAAACTTGAATTTAAAGTGTTTAAAATTTATTTACACTCAGAGTTGTTACCTGAACCATGTTTGGCGTAGATGCTGAAGAAAAGTTAAAAAATTTATTCAAATGATATTCAGGATCATGCTTAGACATGTAGCTTTTCATCATTACGCTTTTCGCAGTACCCTCTTCGCCTATTATGCAATTAATTCATTTTATGCACATACAATCAATATTAAGATATAATGATTCACATTTACTTGAGCTAAAATTATCGAAAATATACTAATTCATTTACCTATCAAGAGTACTGCTTTTCCCTGCTTTGCTATGATATCGATTAGATATAACGTTCTTGTATTATCGACGTTAGGCACAAGAATAGTGTGGTATTCCAAGACACGATCTGGAGGATATTTGAATTCTGACACCATTTTACTCCAATGTATCCATTTTCCGTCGTCTGATACTAGGTACTCAAAAATAGTTTCATCTTCCTATCAAAAATATATAGATCGTAAAGAGATCAAGAATGCTACATTATTTCAGCAAATTAAATAATGGGTCATAAAATTATATATTATACGAACTGTATAACTTGGCCAGTTACAATTTGATTCATGATTTACAAGATACTCTTGTAATGCGAGTCGCCCACCAAGTTCTAATACAGCACCAAGGCTCCACATGAGAGAGAACAGAAAGAGTTTTTCGATATGATGTTGAGGCAATATTTCTGTAAATTATAATTTTAATTAAGTATTCGATAAGTATTTAAGTATTAGAAGCCAACTATAAATCCTAGCTGATCTTAATCTGTTGTTACTGCGTAGATTATACGTTTTATTATTAGAAATACTAACAAACTAAAAACTAAGGTTAAAAAATAAGAGAATATTATAAAATTGCAAAGATGCATGGGAGAGGATGCGTAAAGAAAAAAAACGAGACAAATACGGTCTGATAAAGTGTTTGCTGTTTATAATGCTGATATTGTATAGCCATTTCTAGTAAATAAATATTTGAATACAGAAAAGAATATCACATATTTACTGGTTGGATCAGAATTTCCGATATTCAAACCTTCCAATAGGTCAATACATTGCCGTATATAAAGCGCTTCTAAGAGCGTCATTTCTGCATGAAGCTTTGTTTGAACGAACGTATGCGCATCGCCGTATATTTTATGAAACAACATTCGTAACACTTCAGCTTCATTGGTGGAACATTTTTTGAGCCAACCCTATAAAAAGTATTGCAACATCAAAATGGGTCTCCGCGTGTGAAATATCGCTATGACGAGAACTGCGGATCCATATTACCTCTAAAATTGAATTCCATTTTAGCACAGAAGCACTAACAAAGACCATTCCCATGCGCGATATGGTCGCCGGAGACGCGTTATCCACATTGTCAGGTTCGAACACTAATTTCGTATTCGCTGCCATAATAATGCGATCTCCATTTGCTAATGTCAACGTTTTATTGTCATCCAGAACGGAATTTAAATTTTCAATCCATACTGTATCGACAGGACCGTCCAATACAATCCATAAATTCTCTGTTTTTTTCGTTTGCATAGATTTTCGCCATATAGTAGAAAATATACCATCCGTCCAATCGTTCGTTGCAACATCGAGTTTTCCAAACATTTGAGATGCAGTTATCGCCTATCAATATTTTTTTTGTATTAACTCAAAGAAAAATTATTTCTATGTTGAAATGTTTGATACAATGAAGACGTATTTAGTTAACAAATACCAACTTTTGGATTCATTCTAATTTCCTTATGTGGTATACCCATCTCTGTTAGAGCTCTCATCAGCGCCAACATGCATCGCGTTTTACCAGATCCCGTTGGTCCCAAAACCATCAAACCGTGGCGTACGAGCGATGTTTCGTATAGCTATAGAAATGGACAACATTATTGCCATTATCTTTCTTCAATGATAATATAATTTATGTTAATTTTGCATATTCATCCCACATTTGAAAGCAGTTAAAAAGAAATTTTATTTTCTTTCGGAAAGATTAAATATATGTGAGATAATATCATACACATATGTTACAAATATCAGATATACCTGTACAGTTTTTAAATTCCATTCGCTATGATTCATTATGCCAAGGGCAACTGTAGCATTAGCAATCGCTTTCTGTAATTCTTTATACGTTTGTACTGTTAGCTTAATACCCGGAAACATGTCCTCAATAAGCGACATGAAAAGAGACTCATCTTCATCCACCAATTTAGATAGATTCATATCGCTAAAAAAAATTAACGCAGAAGTACGTCACCTCTTTCTGTACTCGAACAATTTCTCAATATTATAACAATTGTTATGTGCTTTCGTACCGTAATACTCTCATAAGTGTGGTCTCCTCGGAATCGGTGGGATGCGCGCGTTTTTGAGCACCAAGCGTCCGTAAACACGATAAAATGTTTCTTAATCCAAAATCATAATGCACTTGCTTGCTGAGCTGCTCCTCGCATAATTTATACAACGTGAAAAATTTCCGCGATAATACTATGTTCTCTTTGAAGCCGCATGCTGCAAGTTTCACTCGCATTATGATCTGTGCAAACAAAATTAAATTAAATTCACGCAATGTAGCTATTATATTTTAAGTTTTATGCAAGTTTTATGAATTATAAATCCGGTTTCTCTCTACATCTGGAAGTGTAGCTTTGTAATGATATAATGTACAGAAATGGAAGACAACAATAATAATTGCATTGTACTTGTCTGTCAGGAACCATCATAGCCACGCTTCTGAACTGTATTTTCAAATTTTCCGGTAATTCTTGTCGACCAGCATATCCGGGATTCATGGTAATAAATATTCCAAATTCGTAGTTGAGTTTATACGTTTCGCCATCGCTGCAAATGAAGCTTATCAGTTTACTAGAAACGTCACGTCGTTTATAATTTAAAAATACAAATGCTATTCACAGTAAATTGAAATATATATTAACGATTGAATAACTTACAATTAAAATGAGCAAATTAAAAAGAAATGATAGAACATTATACGAAGATATACATTTTTTAAATCTTTTAACACGAAATAATAAAAATAATTTGACATGATAAATAACTGTGTGTTTGTAAAATTGTTTGTGTACCTAAACAAGAAACTCATTTTTCGTTCTTTTCGCGCATTAAGCACGATTGCTATTTGTTGTGCGGCAACGGATAATACTGGTAGATCAATTCGATTAAATTCGTCAAAGCATCCCCAGCTACCGGATTGCGCCAGTCCCTTAAATATCCTGCCTAAACCTCGAAAATCCATTTGATCGGAGCAATTAAATACAACAACGTATTTTCCTAGCGCTTTCCCCATGTCTTTCGTTGTTTCTGTTTTACCCGTGCCAGCAGGGCCCGCGGGGGCTCCACCGAAATTCATTCCTAAGAGAAATATTTGTAGGGATGATAATAAATGACGGAACATAAATAACATTGTAAATGCCACCACACTTTTCACGTATCATACCCACAGCCTGCGCTAGCGTTATGTAACATCTGTCTGTAAGCGGCGTAATTGCGAGACGATCTGTGCAACCCAAAAATTCATTTTGATAAATAAATTCCACATCGGTTATTCTGATTGTGACATCCTCTGATTCGTCGTTGTAGTAGAATCGACATTGTTTTAACCATTCGAAATCATGTATATTCCGAATTCTGAGACGACACAGATCGTCAAATATGTCTCTGAAAGATTTATTTCCCGATTTAAATTTAACGATCATTATTACGTTGTAATTATCGCAATAGAAACAAATATTCAAAAGCGATACCTTTGATGCACATGTATTGTTATTAAACATTCGTATTTTGCTCTAGAATATTTGGTAAGATCCTTAACTGTTATTTCTATAAGACTGTTTAACAAATCTAGAAACCATTGATTGGTTCTTTTCATTATCGTCCTGTCACGTTTGGCTGTTGTGACTGCTATTTCGGAATCGCGCGTCCACAAAACTTGTAACGCTAATAAACCCACCTACAGAAAATAAAAATGTAAATAAAATTACATATTAAATCCGAATTTTTATTTTAATTATGTACATAATATAATCTTTGTTCTAATTATTGTATATGTGTGATATATTTGTATACACATCATCTTACTTGTAAAACAGAGTTTTCTATTAACGACAAGATATCAAATTCAGGCACATAAAATGACTGCAATCCTAACGAAATTACGACGCCAACGGATTGTTGATGGACCGTTAAGAAGGTATTTAGCCAATTCTCCACGCCTCCTGTACATGCGACTTCCTTTTCTAACACTATTTCTTCATTTTCCCGCGAATACATTGCTACAATCTTTTCATATTCCTTTTCGGAAAACTTTAGCTATATATAAAATATAATAAACTTTCTGTACAAGCTTTCTATACATATCATATAAGACTACAGGGACGATAAAAATTATTTTTGCAAAGTATACGGCAAGATTGTTGTATCTCGTAATTATTTTATTTTGTCGATGCGTTAGATTTTATCTTATTACCTTTGCTATATTATCGAAAAATCCGTCAAGATAATTCTGTATTGTGTGACAGTCCGCTGCTTGTCCAAGTATCTCCAACAAGGTAGGATCAGATATAAAGCAGAATCTCGGGAAAATAACTCGTTTCGTCTCTAGATAGCTATATTAGTAAAATTTGTTGATTAAATTTGACAATTTAATCTAAGTATAATTATTTTATTTTGCTAATAATATGTGTACCCGCTAAGAGATTTTTGGCACGATTCTAGTTGTTCTAATAAATGAGGTAAAAACTGGCTCATGGTTTCATCTCCAGTACATGTTTCCACCGCGTTCAATTTCTCATGAGCACGAAGCATAAGCTTGACCCAAGATTTATCAATGGCCTAAATAATAATAATAAATGTTTAGATTATTCTTCATTGATAAAATCGCGATCTTCTCGTAATCTTTTTTACATTAAAACGCTTCGCTTCAGTAGGCAGTTGCTTTGATATATCACCGCCGATAAATACTGCTTCTAGATAAGCCCATAGATTCTGCACCGTTAACCATTTCGCCAATATTTCTGACGTATTGCTAAGCTTAGTCTGCCATAACTGAATCTCTTTCTTAAACGGTGCGTTGTAACTGCATAACATTCAATCAATATATAGAGAATGTGTATTATATTAAACCACACAAATATTATTTTAGTTTTAAATATATATTTATTATACCGATTTGCCAGCAAGGAACTTATAATCATTAAACTGTCTTCAAGCTGTGCTATTATTTCAGCCGTTTCGATACCTTTTAGCATTAATTCGCCTCTTTGTTTGAAGCTGGCAAATTGCAGATTCACAATCGCCCAATCTGCAATTATCTGCTTCAATTTAAATTCGATATCTTGTTCCTTTACTGCACTAATGCATATGTCCTATAATGTTCGAATATGCCATTTATACTTTGTAGAAAAAATATAATTTAAACAATAATTAACAGTTATTGAATTTTGCAAGAACTATTTATTTAGATATACCTCCACATCATCTTTGTATATTAGCAATGGTGCTTGCATAACGTTTGCCAAGGTGAAAGTTTCAGATTCCACATCAAAAAAATAATGACACAACTTCGATAATTTCTCCCAATGTCTGTCTTTCATAGCTTTATTAGCCATCATCTCTAATAATGGACACATTTCGTTGAAATCATCGATCTTCTTTTTTAGGTCAATATATGCGGGCCATTCTCTCATAGCTTTCGGTAATCTTCGACATCTAAAAATAATATTGTAGTATTTTATTACAAGAATTTTATATAAGTTTATATAATTAAATTTTATTATAAATAAAATAACCCTTACTTGTTTTGGAACTCGGCCAATTCAGTTTCAATTTCCTCGATATCAATTTCAGACCACGGAATATCATAGTAGCTGTCAATAGTACGCATAACTTGTAAGTACAACGTATACAACTTTTGCAATAAATTAATCTCTCTTTTTCTCTGTTGCAGAGCTGGATATTCCGTTACTTCTATACCGAATAAGCTTTCACCACTGCTATAGGTTTCATATCTTTCCCATAATTCTTCAAAGCGTACTTGGAACAGGATAAGTCTTGAAATCGGTAATAGACAAAAAATGAAATATTGTTATCAACATATTGCTTTACACATTTTTTAAAAAGTATTTTTTTATTAGAATTGAACCTTTTCTTAATATCGATATATAGACTAATTTCTCAGTATATTTATACAAATTAATAAAATTAAATAATCGTGAAACATCATACCGTTCGCTGGCTTCTTTTGCAGGTATTCCTTCAACCATCGGGCCATTAATTTCAAAATCTATGTCAAATTGCGTCACTTTCTCTTTAAGAACTACAACTCCATTAATGAGTTCTTTTCTCAATGGCTCTTGCATCTCGCATATAATTGCTTGAACTTGTTTCGCCTACAAAAATATGGATATTATTCATATTCGCGTAATTTTAAAACATAGTTTTTATTAATGTAAGCGACATTAAGTATACGAAAATATACCGAATAGAATTAAGTAAAAGCAACAAATTAATACCATATTAAGCATGGTGCTAAAATTATATCTCAATCCGTCTACTATATCTTGATCTTCCTTCAATATATCTATGTTAAATTTTGCCATCAATGTGTAAGTCTCTTCAATTAGAATCAATTCCATGTCTAATAATATAAAGTCGTCTCGTACTTCTCCCAAGCATTTCATTGCAACTCTAACATCTTCTAAATCTTTAATATTCCTGGAGAGAACTTTGTTCTTTTCAGAAATATAGTCTGTTATAGTTTGCAATTTTTTTTTGTAGCTATTTGATAAAATAATACCCAACGATCTCTTCCACGCACTTGCTTCAACAAAGAATGCTAATTTCAATTTATCTGTAAAATAACTATTTACAGAAATCTCGAAAACAATTTCTTTAATATATTTAAGTTGAATATTAATATTAATAATAATTATTATTATTTTTTAATGAGATGAGCGTACTTAAAATATGTTTGCTAAAAAGGTAACATTTCTAGCAATATTACTTTCACATACTTTTACATACTTGTATTGATTTGAAGAGGACCAAGTATGTGCCGATCAGGTAAATTCTGGATTTCTGTCATTAAATCTTCATATTCCATAAATTTCTCTTTGATTTCTTGTATAAAAGGTTTGGAATCAACAAACGCTTGTATTATCTCATTTCTATTCTCTGCCCATATGTAAGAATATCGCAAATATGACTAAAAAACAAATAATTATATTTAATACAAATTATCATTTATGTACTGCTATAAATGTAACCGAGTTACACATTATATTAAATTTCCATACATTGCCAACTTTGGAGACATCATCTCTCAACATTAATATTAAACCTTGTAGACTCATTGAGCTCCGTATTATCTCTTTATGATCTGATACGCTTTGAAAATAGGTATTGAACAGATCTTCTTTATCTGCTTAAGATACAAAAATTACAATGAATATAAATAATCAAAGATACGTTACATAAATATCTACTTTCTTTATCAGTAGATAATAGAAAGATTTATTTAAAAAACTTTGTATATTAATATATTGATAAAAAATGTACCGATATTTTTCTCTCTCTCTTCTTTTAATAATATATTTGTCACATATATTTATTATTAACATTTAATTTTAATATTTCACATAATATTATAATTTACCTTACCAAGCGCTTTAGCCTGCATATTTGTAGAATATTGTTGTCCCCACATGAACACTTTCTTATGCGTTTCTACAATATTCGTTATAACTTTACCAAAGTAGTTTTGTAATTCTTCTATCGATGGGATGATTATAATATTCGGTATTTGTAAAACAAAATATGTCATCATAATCGGAGTTTCTTGCTCATCTATTTCAAGATCTTCAACTAACACGCTAAAGTATAATTCATATAAATTGACGATTTTATCATCAATATAAAACTACAAAATATAAATATAGTATAATGAGATAAATATAAGTATGTATAAAAATGTGTGTATTACCTCATAATGGTCGCTTTTTGTTTTAATAAATCTAAAGAATTCTTTGTACACTTTACTAAAGCTTCTACCAATTTATTATTGAAATGTGCAAAGAGTTCCATGCAATCATTATGCACTTGATTTATTTTAACTTTATTCGTTCTTTCGATATGACCAAAGCCTATATTTGATTAAATCGTTTCTTAATTGTAACATAGAATGATACGCAACATCATAATTATACTCTGAAAAAATATAATACCAGGTTCGAAAGGTCCCTGTATCAATTTGTTCTCGGATCCCGCTTGTCTTTGAATTTTTTCGGGATCCATCCACTCATATTTAATATCTTGCACGGTAGGATCAGTTACAAGATCCATAAATTTATTAATAATCGTGAAAACAGCTTTTTCCGCTGCTGAAGATTTTACCTCCAAGTCAATTGCTATTTTATCTCGGAAAGCTATGTTATCGGCTAAAAATTGTTCTGGACTTTTCGGTTGCCCATCTAATTGAAGTAATATTGTTTCCTCAATAGACTCAAATACTTCATCCACTCTCGCTTCTTTCATATCTGTTACTTCCTTCAAAAATATCTCTGCATTCTGAATCGTTTCCTCTATTTTAGCGCATACTTTAGAGATTTTTAACGAGGACCACGTAATTACTGACAGACAAGGATAAAAAGCAATTTCGAGGTTGACGAGTGCAAACTTCATTAAATTTAAAAATATGATCGGGATGGAGCATCTGCGCGCACAAATAATGAATACATAAATATATATATATATATACACAAAGAAAACTTAGATCAATAATTATGAAGTAAATTTATATACCTAAGGGAATCATTTCTCTGAAGCAATTTTTTCACTCTCTCGTAGGATAAAAATATATTTTCTTTGCAAAAGATTAAAATTTGTATAAAATCTGGTACTTCTAATCCAAATTTAGACATATGTTCCGATTCCCGTATCACTTCATATATGTAAGAATCGAAATTTAAACAGTACTTATTTGTTTTTGGATGACGCACAAACATAGGTGATGATAATGCAAGACGAACCTAGCACAATTAAAAATTGTATTAATGTAACATTATTATATCCCTTAATTATATCTCTGAGAATTTACATTTTAAAACAATAATAATATATATGTATATATACAAATATGAGCAATTCTTAAATTTTGTTATCTTTAAAAGTTTACTTATTCTAATTTTTACATCCATAGCGTATTTTACATTTTTTTATGTAAATTTAAATTAGAAAAATATTATATCGATTAAATCTATTTCTCCCTAAAGAAAATACAAAAAAGATACATTTATCTAAAATTCCAGATTGCACATAATTTAGGAATTTTTGACTAGCATCCTAATTAACTTAAGTAATAATATTAAACTTACAATGTTAGCCGAATCATACCACGCTTTGTGATATATTAACTCGTAATGAATAAACGCACCGACGAGTGCATTATATATTTTAACACACTTCTGCATAGAATCATATATAATTACTCTCTGGTGCGATCTAAACATATTCATAGGAATCTCAATACGTTTATACAATTGCCGAATCCATAGGATTCTACCGGCGATAGGCGGAATATTCTTTGATATAGGTGGATCAGATCTATCTTCATTATATCTATCGCGAATATCCTCAATCTCTCTTTCGTACATTGCGACGAGTTCTAAACACTTTCTATCAATTCTCAGTTGCTTGAGATTTAATTTTTGAAATCTGAAAGAGAGCATATAATGGATTATATAATATATTCTTACGTGTGATCAGATAATATAAAAAAAAGTTTACACATATACTACCTAGCTATCAATTCTAAGCTCTGTGTTATATTTGGTAGAAGAGAAACACGATTATAAAAGAACGTTCTAAGCTCCATATCCATCTCCGCTACGCTCTTTTTAAATTCATCGTAATCAGAATCAAAATATGGTTTTCTGTGATCCAAAGGATCATATTTTCGCGAGGAAACTTTTTTAAAATAATTTGTATATTTTTGCGCGTATGTGTCAATTCCTTCGATGGTCGAACTATGCAGAATGGAGTACATTCGTGTTGTTTCAAGAATATCCATGATCTATGTTATCGCAAATAAAAGTTACTATAATAACGTGATTATGCATAGATATTACGACTTACTTTTACTTTTATTTATTACTTACTCACTTTTATTATTCTCGTCTTAAAAGTGCCAAACTTTCCAAAAACATACATTTCGGATACCTCAAAAGGCTTTTCGTCTGAGGATTCTTCGACCTTTTTGCACATATCATAGTAACACTTATGATATACCTCACATAGCTTAATACAATCCTGTATAACGATATTACACTGATTTTATTGTTTTAATTGTAAGATTAATTTTAAAAAAAAGAATAGAAGACATTAATTTTATACATTTTTGTTTGATTATCACCTTTATCTTAGATATCATAATATGTTTCGACTCATTCCAAATGCTCAGTTTTCCATTCTCCGTCAAATATGCTTTACATGCTAATATCATTTGGTTTGTTATCTGAATAAAGATTATACAAATTAACGCAATGTAATAAAAAATAAATAACTTATGATATACTTGATTATAATATAATTATAATTCTTTTCTATTATGGTAATCTTTAAAAAATAATTTGATGATTAAAAATTAAGTAAAGTTTTAATTAATTTTTTGCAATTAATATACTCAAAAAGTAATTTAAATATTATTTCATTATTGATTTTACAGGAAAATACCTTTACATATACTGCGGTTACCATCTTTCTCGTATTAAAAAATCGTGAAGTAGTATAAATCATTCTTATTGCATACATGAGAGCGGGTAAATGATCTCCTATTTTCGTTGGATCTAATCTGTACAACGGCTGTGTAAATTTTTCTAAGGCGTATAAATATTTTACGTTATCTTGTGATAGAATATGGATCTTTGTTACATGATCTTCTAATATCTTCCATTTCTATATATAAAATATAATCAGTTAAAATTAATGATATGTATACATTACTATTATATATTTATAATTTATTAATTATTTTTCTTTCTTAACAATTCTTAACATTTGATTTTTTTAAATACTTGTAAATATTTATTCATTTTTTTTTACTTATTAATCCAACAATATTTTTATTTTATATGTAATGTACAACATTTAGTTCAATATGTATTACGGATTTATACCTTAATAAGTTTTGACTTTGCTTCCGTTAATAATTGTATAAATGATTGAGTATAAGGAGACTTTATGTGATTTATTATCGATGAAAATTGAGCAAACAATCTTCTCCAATAAGCAAGTTCCGCGGATGGTCCTACAGTTTCAGTTTCCCTACGCAATTGTTGACTCTCGACAATGGCCTATGCAAAATCATTTTAAAAAAGTTGCAAAATTTTATTAACAGACACGATCGGTAAAAAATCACGCACCCGTTCCATCAATTTTTTCCATATTTTAACATCAGCCTCTGCTGCTTCAATAACATCCAATTTACAAATGTTCTCTCTAATATTTTCAGGGTGCGCCAAACATTTTTGATAAAGATCCCAATTAATTTGAAAGCATATAATATTTTCCAAATCTATCTTTGTCACTATAGAAAGAAAGAAAACAAGGATTATCTCATATATCTAGAAGAGATACATTGATAATTACGATAATTGAATAAATGCAAATCATAAGTTACTTACTATTAAGAAATTCACAAAAATCTCGAAAATCGCCTATAAAATCGTCCTTTATCTTTTCGCCAGTTTCGCTTCTCGACAATTCTCCCCATTGCATATTAGCAATTAACGTTCGTCCATGTAAACGCGAAATTAAATCAGATATACCTGCCAGTGCACTGTGTGATGTATGATCTATTTCGGCATAGGCGTAATACGTTTCCTATGTAGAGAATAAAATAAAGAGCATGAAAAATTTTGGAAAAAACCCTAAGAAAAAGAAAAGATATACATACATTGCTCTGTGAAACTGATTACAATCTCATGTACAAATGTGAAAGCGAATTAAAATTTTATATTTTATGAATACATATATTGCGCTATCAATCAAAATATACAATGTAAATTCAACAGAGTTTACGATGAAAGCATTAGCTTTTAACCGAGATACTTACGTCAAGTAACTGCTTGATTCCAAATTCAAGATTTGATTTTAATCGATAAACTATGACACATTTGCCCGAAAATTCTTCAGTAGTACCATCTGTTATGCAGCAACGTATAACTTGCTGTTCTTTGCTGAATTGAGGGATCCATCGCCCAGATTCTGTGTGATAAGTCTCATATATACCACGGTATAATATAGAACAGCGTAATTATCGCCGTTAATGTCATATTAAATAACATATATTAAATACAATAATCGCTATCAATGTTGTATTAAATACAATGATTGTTTTGTACCGAATGCCGGAGGATTCATAGATTGAAAATAAACAATAATAGCTTGTTTTCCACCCTCGGCGAAGAAACTGCTAAATACGTTTACGTAGTCATCTTTGTCGAGAATTCCTTCTTCCAGCACTTCAGCATCTGTATTCAAAATATATGCCGCTGTTTCCAAGACGTGTCGATGTGTAACTGTTAATAATCCTTGCCTGGCGTTACGAATCTCCTTAAATTTTGCCTAAAAAAATAAAAAGATTTACGTATACTGGAAAACAGACTTTTCTAACAATCACATAACATTTTAGCAAAAAGATTTTAAATGCTGTTAATGTAAATAAATTTTTCTTTTATATATTTATATATTTATTTTATATGTTTATTTATTTATTATCTATTGCTTTATATTTATTCTTTTGATTATTTCGGTATTTAATAAATTTTTAAACAAGCATTTTTCAAATATTTTATGTTTGTGGTTACATTATTAAATACTGTAATAATATTTGAGGAAAAAATATGTACGATATAAATATATTGAGACTATTTAAAAAAAATATTAAACCCGCAAACTTACGAGTCGCTCCTTTGTACTTTCCGTGGGCAAATCTTCCCGTGCGCCAATTCTTCTTTTCACTAATTGAGCGATTCGTTGATCGATAGCCGGTTTCGTGTAATCTCGCGATATGGGATACGTATTTGCCATTATTATAAGAAAAAGAAATTGTAAATATTACGATGATTAGTAAAAGACTTTGAAGAAGCTGGAAGAAAAATATAACTATAACTATATATGTATAAAACACGTTTGACATTGACAATTCATTATGCATGGGTCGGAAATTATGCATATAAAGCAAGATGAATAAACAAATGAATATTATTTAAAATATTTTTACAATATTTATTTATTAAAATCACTAGCACACAGTGCGGATTACGCGTATGTCATTCGTGTATTTTAACAGCTTTCTTACATTGATCTTAGACTTCTATACTAATTGTACACAAATATAATTCAATAAATCGGTAAATATATGTGTATTGTAATAATCTGTAAAAAAGCTAAAATACTGTTGTGTAAAAAAAGAGAGTTTAAATATATTATACAATTTCTTGATTGATATTAGTATTATTTAATAAAATTTTGCACTTCTTATTAACTATTATTATTAACCATGGATATTTTAAAAAACATAATTTTAAATGTTATATTTTAGATTTTAAATCAACAGTTTCCCGATTATAGATTGGAAGAAAAGACTTTAATTGAGTTGCTCGCAAAAGCGTCTGATCTTCCTTGTTTAAACTTTTTGTAGGGAGATATTTAAAAAGTAAGATTTATATTTCAAAAAACTGGATTTCTTGCAAAAAAATCTGTATCATCTTTTAAATATTGTACTTATCATAAGTCAAAGATGTCTCACAGGTTTTTACTTCGCGCATGCGTTGTATGTTGTATAGCTGCCTTCATATGAGATGTAACAGCTGGCAGTTTACAGTTTGTTGCGGAGAGAGGTTAATAGACGTCATCATATCGAGACAGATCATAAAATAGCCACGATCAAAACTGAAATTTTAAATTGAAAGTTGCGTCCGTAAGACGAAATTGATGTTACCGCTGCGTTTATCGTATTTGCGGTAATAAATAGTGTTTATGTAATAGTTTCGAAATCGCGTGGCTTGTCATTTGACAGGTGATCAGCTGTGATTCTGCATTACAGTATTTTTTATATTCGGATTTCTTAAATTGTAATGAAATATGAGAAAATGCCATTAGTTAGAAAATCTGATGGCAAATAAATTTGTTTTCTTTGAAACTTTATGATAATTATATTTATCCCATTTCTCTCTCTCCTTTGTGAGTCATATGAATAAATAATAAAATGAATAAAAGTGTATAATTTCAATAACTTCAATCATGTGTAGTATAAAATGTATGCTCTGATATTTTTATATTAATTTTATTACAGTTTTTTTTTCTTTTTTATTTGCATGATATACTCGAAATTAGTTTTGTCATTAAAGTAATATAACATATACATGCACATATTCCTACCAAAATCTTCATATCTCTAGCCTTTAATAAATAATATAATTTGTTTGGATGTATTTATATTTTTTTTAATTTTTTGATTATTACACAATGGCATTAATGTCAAGTTAATATCTAAACTAGTAATATATATAATAAATTTAATTATACAGAATTTATTTTATGTAATTTTCAGACAAGTCTATATGCCTCTCAGGATATATAGTATTCATTCAAAATTATTGGATACTATTTCACTAAATAGAGATGGTATAAGTTATAAAATATATATTATTTATTATTATAAAAAGACAGAGAAGAAAGATTTCTGATACTGATTTCTAATCTAAGACATAACTCTTACTATTTTTAATGAAAGAAGTTTATAAAAATATGATAGATGTCTTGCGCTGCCAAACACAATGTTTAAATTGGAATCCTATATAACACCAGTAATACTTAGTTATGTAGAGAAATATGTAAAAAATTTTAAACCAGAACAATCACAGGTAAGCATATAAGTTCTCTGCATCTATATTTATTTGTGATAAAATGTTTTATTTTGTAAAATGTTGTCAAATTCTAAATTTCTTGTTGTTAAGTTCTAAATTTTCTAAAAATCTATATTTTATATTTCTCATTCATAATGTCAATAGTTTGGAAGGAAAAAAGAATATAAACATATACAGAATATTTACATCGTTTTCTCACCATAAAATTGCATTAATTGCTCTTGTTCAAAAGTATTGAACAATTTAATGATATATAGAACAAGTTTAATAACACTTTTTAAAATAAAAGTAATAATTCTTCAAGATATTATAGAAAAAGAAACTTTTTCAGGTATCCTTGTGGGGTGGAGATGCATCGTTTCAAAATCTGGATCTACGATTAGAGGTATTGGAGGAGCAACTTAATCTTCCATTCGTATTTGTTAGTGGCCACATACATGAATTGTTGATACATGTTCCTTGGGTAAAAATTACCTCTGAACCAATAGTTGTTACCATTAATACTATAGGTAGATAACAAAATAAACAATTTTGTTTAATATATTAAAAATACTACATTTTGAGACAAACAATCATGTTGTCTATTTTCTTTTACAGAGTGCATCTTAAAATTGAAAGATGAGAATACCACAGAAACTAACCCATCGACATTACAAAAGAAAAAGGAGGTGGTACAGTAAGTATCACTTTTTATCTGATATTGTTATGAAATTTTATTAGTTTCTTCAATCTGATATTGTTTTAAAATTTTATTAGCTTAGTATCCATTTGATTGCTTAGCAACTGAAAATAGTAAAATAGATGTATATAGACAAGACTTTGAATTTTTTATTATAGAGAGGAAGCTCCACCTGGATACATAAAAAGTATAGTCACAAAAGTTATTAATAATATTACTATTCACTGCAACAATCTCATCTTGAAATATGTAGAAGAGGATATTGTGCTTAGCGTAAATGTCAAATTATTAAGTATGCAAACTGTTAATAATAAATGGGAGCCAGCATTCGCTGGTGAGTATTTTTATACATAATTACAGAATAAAAATCGTCTTTTGTTTTACTAATATAAGTTAATTTTTAATATGGATTAAAGATATATAAATATATAATTAATATGTATATGTATAATATTAATGCTTACAGATATCAACACTCAGGAAGTGATGCTTAGAAAAGTTATTACTATCCAGGATTTGACGTTGTGCTTAGATAAAATGGATGCATCAGGAAAGATAGAGATATATCAGGTATTTATTCTAAAATATATTTTGCATACATATTTTTTTAAATATGTAGAAAAAAATATTGTAGATTAATCTAGGAAGAAGTTAATTTGAATAATAATTTAACAGGATCCTGTTTTATATCGATGCTCAATGACAATCCGCATGATTATAAACTATCATAGCAACACTTTGAAGAGAGCATCCATCACGAGACTTGATCTTCATTGCGAAAAAATGGAGTTTAGTATGACTGAACAACAAATACCGATGCTCCTCAGACTGGCAGCCTTGGTAATGGCGTTACAAACAAAGCAATTTCCACTAAGCAAAGAGAAATCTTCCATTACTGTGGATGAGAGAGAGGATGTTATACAAGGTTCGATATTGCGTTTAGATGCTGCTTCAAATATTTTTTTTTATATTTTAGATATATATAAAATATTAATAATTTTCAGATGATACAAGTCAGGTAGTGGGAACTTCGACAGATGCAGTTGGATGGGGTGGATGGGCTTGGGATATAATGTCATCTGTTCTGCCTGTTGACTGGGACAATAATTGGTCCGCCGAACAACAAATGGCATATTCTGGTCATACCATACACTTGGGTATTTATATAGATGATGCTACTTTAACGTTTAAGGTAATAAACATAATTTATCTTTCAAAGAAAACATTTTGTACATACAATATTAATAAATAAATGATTATATCTCAATCATTTTTACAGACTGTCGAAAGCGTCAAAGAACAGTTATTTTACAAATCTCGAAAAATTAGATACAAATCGTTTTTATCACTTCAATTAAATGGAGTTGTGATGGATACCTTAATTCAAGGAATCACAATGACAACGTTTCAAGTAGGAGTGGCGTGCATACAGCTCTATCCACGAGGAACGTGCAGTTGCGGGCATGTAGAAGTCGTTGATGGTGAACAGGTAAAGCAATTAATTATTTTAGCCAGATACAAAATTAGATAGAATGTCTGAGAGGTAAATTATTATTATAGCCGCCTCTTTACATAATAGCTGGGAACTTGAATACTGATTATCTGAAAGATTCGTTGTTTGACGAAGAAGCTGTAGAAAACAAAGGAAAGAAAAGAGAATACAAGCAAGGAATAGATTATCACTTGACAATAGCTTCGGGTATAATATTATTTGTTAAAGACATACATATAACATTTTATAGATGTAAATTTATAATGGAAATTTATCTCTTTTAGTTGAACAATTATTAGAAAGGTGTCCAGCGTTTGTGATGGATTATGTTTATTACATGGATTTGCCCGACGACATAACACCTGAAAGACTACTCGAGTTTGGATCAAACTTTGAATACAGGTGTTTGAAAGATCTCGATAGTTATACGTATGTGAAACATAACAAAGAATTTTTATAAACAACTCACTTTTTGCAGCAATTTTCAGGAACACAGGATAATGAGGTACCTATCTGGAAATTTGACAATCAGATTATGCTCTGGTATTTTTCATCGTATTGATACTATCAAACAAGCTGCAGCGAAATATGATTATAATCCCTACATTGTAACAAAACCAGGTGAATATCTGCTATACAATGCTGAGATATATTTCAGTTTAATTAACGGTCTTACACCAAATAAAAAAGTTGTGAATAAAAATTATATATAAATATCAATTTTAGATCCTCTCATCGATGAATTACCTCCAGTTACATTAGAAGAGTACGAAGCACTCAGAGAGAATGTATCAATGACGGAAACAAAATTAATATTAAAAACAGCGTCGCTGCAACTACAATTGGCAGATCATTGCGTCATGGGAGTGCCGCGGCAACGTAAAATTGTCGAAGCTCGGGTAACTATCATATTTTTTAATATTTTAATAGTTGTGTGTTAAATGAATACGACTTGTCTTTCCAGACCATTCCATTATCTCCAGCTCTTACGGATGATCCTTTTGTAACCATTGAATGCGATGAAGCAATTGCCACCATAGTTCAGCCTATGTATCCGTTTAGACTCGTGGCTTGTGCGTCCAAATTAACAGATTTACAACCGGAAATGTTTATCCAATGCCACGCGATTACTGACATACAAGTGAGCAGAGTGTTTATGCATAATTATTATGAACACACTTTTATGTAACAGATCTAATATTAGAATGCTTACATAGATAACTGGAGCGAAAAGTCAACTCCACTTGACAAAAACTTGCGATACTTCAATAATGATGCCTTATTCGGTGCAAGCTTCTTCAAAGATATTATTATATCCTCAATATTGGCGAGACATAGACATGGTTCAAAAATCGTACTCTTTTCAAACGGATAGTGTCACTATCACGGGGACTAAGGCAAAATTAATGGCTGCTGTATCTATAGCAACTTCTATTTTTAATTCTGCAGATACAACAAATCCACTTATCTGTTCTACTCTTTTTAATGATGCCTTTCAAGAGAAATGTATGTAAATGATATTAATATATTAATGTGTTTTAATGTTATATTTTGTTTTAAATATAATTATACATTTTTTTTATTTGTTGCAGCACCAGTGTACTTAGAATTATACCTAGAAAATATAATGTGCAAAAATGTATCATCTTCGGTTATGATATCAAACGAGATGAATGTAAACTCTATAAAAATATTTGCTCTCAATGATTTACAACAAACTTTTATTCTTTCGGGTCCAGAAAATTATGACGGCAAGTTCGTATATACATATATTATATATCAATAACATGTGTACATGAAAGTTTGAGAAATGTTAAGTAATTAAATCTTTATATTTTTAGTGACACAGGAAATATACCGCTTTTATCTAGTATAATACAGTTTCCTAAAAATGTCGAACTACATACACATCCATCACTTGTTTCGTTTAAAATTGCCGAAATCAGGGCTTCGTTGGATCCACTTTTTTTTGAATGGCTAAAATATTGTGCTACTTATCATAAATCGGGAAGTACACACGTATTACGTTCAGATAGCCAACAGTTGATCACCGAAGGTACATCGTCCGATACAGGTACTCGAAAGAAAACATTTCCGAGTCTGTATGAAAGTGTGCATAGTTCATCGGACAAAGAGAAAAAGAGATCAGCTGTGACAGAAAAGTCGAAAACACTACGATACGATGAAACGCAAAAGAAAACTGAATCTAAAACAGAAGAGGAACAGGTATTAAAAAATTATATTAATAGCAAATATACTTTCTCTCTCTCTCTCTCTCTATAATATATCATATAGTGATTGTATCAATCGCTTACTGTGCATTACTTATCAAAGGAATTACTTTGAATATGATAATTACATTAGATATATATAGAAATAAATGATTTATGGTAGAATTTGCAGAAATCGGGAATATTGGTCAAATTAGCAGAGTCATATTCGCAGTGGAGCAGTCTGGTGTTAAATGGTTATATAGGACATATTGTTATTTACATTCCATCTAATACAATGAGTGGCATTGGCGCTGATGGTAAATATTTAATAATATTTTATTATTTTATTTTTATAATTATTAGAAATAATTTATTATCAAAAATAATTTAAGACAAAAAGATGGGGATTGAATCATTATTAGACCCATTCATGGGGCTGTCGTATTGATTCTCATATTTTTGATATTGATGCATTTTTATATGTAGTTTATAAAAACAATTTATAAAATATTCATTATATATACAAGGCATAGAAGAAGCCAAAGACAGAGCCTTAACAGAGAATCAAGATTTACAAATAATGTTAATAAAACTGCCAAGTCTTCTTATACACTCATCTAATTTGAATGCTGAATCTTTGAACCCGTATTTGCAAAAAATTCCTGTTATATTACCAGAATCTATGTGGACATGCCGTAAGTCTATTTATAATTCAGAAATTTATACACACATATATATATACACATGTTAAAATACATATATAATACACATCTATTATTATTACTGTTATTATTTTAGGATTACAGAGCTTTCCTTGGACGTTAAGTCTTGTAGACTTTCATTGTTACACATTGCAACAGAGGACACAAAAAAATTTTATAAAGAAAGTTACATTAAATGCTACAGTGGCTCTTACAACTAAGACAGCTGCAATTCAGTCAAATACACTTACTGCTTTAAGCATTTGTGTACATATTGATAATTCTCCTATTCTTATTTCACTTTCGGAGGAACAGGTATTAATTATGAATCTCTATTTATTTAATAATAATAACATAATATATCATAAAAATGTAAATTTTGAAATGTATTTTTCAGATTGTTTTCATGAGCAATATAATCTTAAATATTGTAAAAATATTACAAACTCTGTATAGCTCTCGGGAAAGTAACACAATTGTACGACAGATGAGCAATGAAATGCAAATTGTTCTCCCTGCCATACCTCAAACTCCATCCACCCCGACACAAATAATGTATCAAGAAGATACAACTAATTCAACCATATCTACATCAAAAGACGATCTAGGATATGGTGAGTTGCGAATATATTTGTTCTTGTGAAAAATATTAATTATTATTAATTATTTTAACAGAGAAAGACGGTTTAGTTGTAACAGCATGGATCCAATGGACCATAACAAAGGTAGCAATTAAATTATACATTATGGAACAAGTAGACGGATCTTCTTTAAAATTGATATTGGAACTGGAGGATATTATAACATCCTTAGACCTGCAATCAGTCTATATGCAATTAAAAAGTAAAATAACAACAGCTACGATATTACATTATGTTAGGTAAAAATTAATATTTTTATAAAATATTTATATTATTACAAGCAATGTTTCTTTAATTTGTACATTTATATTGTGATTCAATAGAGGTTCACAAGCATTAAATTGGGATGCTGGCGAATACGCCGGACTAATACTCTGCGGAAGAGAAGATAATTTAGAGAAAGGCGATGATTCGGGTTTTCTAAGTTTTACGCTTACTCGTGCAAAATCAGGAAATGTGTACACACGTTGGGGTACTCACAAGCGTTACAAATCACAAAAGGTAGGACAAAAGGTAATAACATTTGGTTATTGACAATTTCGCTTAAATTATAAGAAAAAATTCTATTAATCATATGTATTTATATATATATGAATTAATAATAGCTCTCTGATACTTTCTCGAACATTTAGAAAGAAATGCTGATTGATTCGGCGTTGTCCATGAACGGCTACATTTCTGAAATATTCATCAAAATGCAAATGGTCGATATAATCTTACCACTTAGTGTAATTGGTAAATATAGCCAATTGCTAAAACCTTTTGCATGTCTTGGTTTATATATCGAGAAAAGTACGGAAGTCACTCGTGGCAAAAGCACATCAACGCCATTAATTGATATAATCACTCTGAATAATGAATCATTACCATTGATACATTTGGAGTTCAAAGGTTTTCGACTCATGATGCCGGCCTTAAGTCAAGCAAATAAATTGCAACATGATTTATTGATGCTCCAGGTTTTGTAAAACGTTTTACTTTTGAAAAAATTATCTACATTTTTCCCTAATGATATAATGTTTAAATTGATTTATATTGGAGTTCTTTTATAGTTGGACGGAATTCGTATCACGCCGGATGCGGAAAATCCAATTTGCAGAACTCCATTGCGAACTGATATATATCAGCTGGCTGCTCAAGCAAATATATTAAATGTACCAGGTTCGGCCGTGGAAGATCGTCAGTATCAAATTAACGTTAAAGGATTGTGCGCATATACCACTACATGGAGGAATTATCAGCTAAGCATTAATAAGGTTTACTATTAAACAGACATTTTATAAATGTGCATATTTTTTATATCTTATCCAAAACTTAAAAAAATGTCTTGAAACACATTAATATACACAGATTTAATAATTATATAATCTCTGCGCATTTTATATTTTCAGAGGATGTCTCAATCATATCTGTATACAATGAATGAGAATCCTGCATTGGAATGGAATAAGCTCGGGAATGGTAGTAGTCTCGATCCGTATTTCTCTACATCTCCTGTATTAACAAAGTAATGTAATTAATATGCACATATAAAAATCTATTATATTTAGTTTATTAGACTTTTTCTAATTTTAATGTTTAATTCTAGATTTGATCTCTGTTTGATCATTGCACCAGCTGTCACATTTAAGGGTGACACGATAGTTTGTGGAAGTGCCATTGAAGTGAATTGCATTACAGACATAGAATTGACAATAAATTTGGATCAAATTAAATTAATATTGACGCTCAATAATGAATTTATAACGCTATTGTCTGGAAGTTTTGAGAAAGTGGAAGATCAAAATAGTTTTAATAACACAGTTCAAAGATTTCCTTCGGGCTCTCAAAGCGTAAAACCTGTCAATTGGTTGAAACAGACGTTAGATGATCCAGATATCGATTTTACAAAAGACAGTGGTGTTGATTTTGAGATGTCTAGTGTACATTCGACAGTAATTGTAAGTTATCGATACATTCTTATAAAAATAACGTTTCACGATTTACTAATTTGTTCTAAAAATAATTTTATCAGGGGAGACCTGCGGTTGCTGAAACAATGATACTTCCACCATTTGAATTTTTAGTGAATTGTGGAAAGATAACTCTTATCTTGTATGAAGTTCAGAACGCATTTCTTAATTTAGAGGATGATATAGTGAGTAATAAAATTATAATTTGTTTGATTACAGTATTTTGATTATTGTTAAAATATTAATTATTTTTTCAGGATATACACAAAACTGATTGTGAAGACGATAACGATAATGTAAAACAGTCATTACTTTATCTAATGATTAATCAACCGAATATTTACTTTTCTCAGCAACATTTATCTAAAAAAATTCAAGTATGCATTTTTTAATATGTAATTTCAAAAAAAAAAAAAAAAAAAAAATAAATTTTTTTTTTGTAATGCTAAAATCCCCGAA